CTTAAGTAACATTTATAGTGGATGACCCATTGAAGAGGCTGATTGGTTCTTTGTTGGATGAAGATCATCCCAATAATCTTGGTGGTGCAGAGAATGAAGATCAGGTGCCCAAGTCACTCCAAGTGCATGGATGCTAGATACTGGATCGATTAAATTCCAAGAACTAACATGAAAATGCGAGCAAACGGCCATAAGATGAGAACAAGGCATTTTATAAATTGTAAATTTTCCACAGCTGCATGTCTGGTCATCAATACAAACAACTTGTGTATTACGTGTTCACTGACCAACTCCACAACTTCACATCTCATGTGAAAGAGTGTAACAGTACTCATTCTTGCTTTGATCTGGTTAGGTCGCATAAATTCGATTGTTTTAGGTGAGTACTCCATACCATTGTCTATGTAGCGTTGTGCATGTTCACGACGCTCACAAAAATATTTTACAAGCCGATAAAATATGAATTTCACACATGTAGTGATGGAAAGCATCCTAGCACCTTTCAATGCACCATTGAACATCTCAGACACATTTGTTGTGGTTGTTCCATATCGCCGGCCACCATCATGGGCAATTGTCCACTGTTGTGCTAGAATATCATCTAACCATTTCCTTGCCAATGGATTTATATTTTAATTTCTTCCATTATCAAATTAAACTTGCAAATCTAATGTGCTGCCCTAGCCTTCCACACTTGATCTTTCAAATACGTGTTGTTTGTAATGTGTGTTGAAATTGCTTTGTACATGCCTAAGACAAAAACAATGATAGGCGTATGGCTAATTCCACCTAGAATCAGGTTTTTTAACCGTTGAAATTATACATTTTTGTTGATCTGAGATTAAGTATATACCAGCTCTATTCAGTACAATAGAGTGCTGTAAATGATATGGGAACCAACCCCAGTTTTCACTAGTCTCCTCATGTACAAAGGCAAATGCTAGAAGAAAAATCTTCTTCTGAGCGTCAAACCCAGTAACAATAAGAAGCTTATACTTATACTTGCCATTTACAAATGTGTCATCGATTCTAATTATAGGCCGACAATGAACAAACCCATCAATAGAAGCTTTGAATGCCTATAACACCTTTCCAAATATATTGAATGTGGGAGCACGAGCTTCATATTGTCACTTTACAATTGTCCCAGGGTTATATTTCACAAGAGCACCCATAAACTTCAGCAAGAGGTTGTAAGAACAATTTTAGTCACCAAAAACCTTGGCTATAGCCTTATTCTTTGCATTTCATGCCTTCTTGTATGTTATCAAATATTGATACTCTTTTTTCACCATTTCAATGATGACAGACATTGTTACATCAGGTGTACCCCAAACCACTCCCTCAATCCATTAAGAAATAAAACCTGCATCAAGCTGATAGTGGTCCTGATTCAACCTTGGGTAGAAACAAGGGTGAGGTGCCTGATATTTTGTGATCTCAAACATTCCATGTTTTGCCTTCAAAACTGCCCGTAGCCTCCATTTGCATCCACATTGTACATGCATCTAACACCTCAAAATTCAACGCGTTTTGTTTGTATCAACAACAACATATTATTGTTACATTTTAATTGAATACAATTTAACTGTCATTTCCAATTCTTTTTTACTCCTGAACACCATACCCTTCGCCAGTTTTGGTCTTGTAGGATCCCATATTTTAATTTCATGCAAAATGCACAAGCTGTCAATTCAGTCTGGGTTCCCGGTTCAGCGTTTGAGAAAAATGTTGGCTCCGGCTCATGCATAGGAACCTCACCATCATCCTTAATAGAATTACATTTGGCATCGTAATCATCATCATCAAAGTCATCACTCAATAAATCTTCTACAAATTCTTCTTATTTGTAGTAATCATTCCGGTCAGAAGCACACATTCCTTCATATGTATTATTATCAATCTAATGTACTGCAAGTGCATGGACGGGGTCTACTGGCTCTAGTGTCAGGGTAATTGCAATCATTTCCATCCCCTTGTTACCCAGTGTAGCACTGTAGTCTTGCTGGGATGAGCATTCAAGAAAAGTACTCGGCCCTGTTTCAGCTTGTCCATGTGCATATCGATTGAATTCTTCCATACACTGCATTGTTAAAGGGGTGTAATAATTGTCCACCATGGCTAAAGGGTCAAGCACTAGGATATATGGTTGTTGGCTTAGCATGGTAGAGTATGAACCACCATAAGACCAACCTTCATTACTTCCACCAATGTCATCTGCCTAACCTTTTCACTCACATACAATTCCACTTTGTTAACACATTGATTGTCAAATACAACATCCACCATTGCCTCCACACCATCATTGTCAACAATTTCTACTGGAATATATGTAAAAATGTTAGTTCCCAATGTAGTAGGAAACCTACATATAAGTTTTAGGTTGTANACTCACATACAATTCCACTTTGTTAACACATTGATTGTCAAATACAACATCCATCATTGCCTCCACACCATCATTGTCAACAATTTCTACTGGAATATATGTAAAAATGTTAGTTCCCAATGTAGTAGGAAACCTACATATAAGTTTTAGGTTGTATTTATTCCTATCTATCCCCATCACATCATGGAACCTATCCACCAATGCCAAGTAAGTTGTGTCATGCGCAACCTTTACCACACGCTTATAACCATTATTGTATTGTAAAACATTGTGGTTCTTGAATATGGTACCACCCCAATAAACCATCACAGAAGCACGTCTTCCAACAATTCTACAATAAAGACATCAAAAGTTAGTGTGTATAGACAACCAAANTGTAAAACATTGTGGTTCTTGAATATGGTACCACCCCAATAAACCATCACAAAAGCATGTCTTCCAACAATTCTACAATAAAGACATCAAAAGTTAGTGTGTATAGACAACCAAAACATTAAAATCAATGGGCCTTGTTCATGCTTTCATCGAAACTTTTGCTTGTTCATGCTTTCAAATGTAAATAAATTGGGTAGCCCGTTCTAATTTTCAATCACCCATCAACTAATCAGTAATATACCAAAGTTCTACACAAATACATATCTAATACACTTTTTTGTCCACAAAAAAAGTTTAGGTTGGTAGAATTTATCAAGAAGATAGGTTAGTACTGTATGAAGATAGGTTCGTAGTGTATGAAGAGGTGAATATTCAGAGCAATAATGATTTTACAACATCAGTTATAAGTGCTATCATGATTGGCTAACAATGTGTTGCATATAGATGTTCAACAACTCAGAAGAATAGGTGAACACCCATTTCACAAGGCACCAACTCTAAGTCCAACTCTTTGACAATGTATCAATCTAAGCATAATCCAATCCAATTTCCACTTTTCAATTTCACAAGCTCACACCAGTAATCAACCCACAACTTTTCAGAAGAATTTCACAAGCTGTAAATGTTCTAAAGAAAGACACCAAAGATTGTTCTACATGTCAGCACTCATCACCATCCATAGCAACCACTCTCAAATCCCCATCATAACCCAATATATTACAAATCCCCAGCATAGATTCATTGTAATTAATTAAATAAATAAATCTAAATTAAAAAAAAATCCAAACTAGCATTAAAACTTAAATTTAATTCCTAATTTGCAAAGAATACACCTAAATTGCAAACTATCCACCCAAAATTGAAAATACAAAATCAACGCAAAAATAGATTCACAATTGACCTAAATGGAAAAAACCCAATCTAAACTTTACACTTCCTTCCATTCCCCAAGTTAAAATTGATGGCATGCTGACAATAAACAAAATTATAATAGATAAAATTGGCATCATAGATAGTATGGAGAATTGGTGTTCTGGATCAATTTAGGGCAACAATTGATTTTGGTCAATATATTGATTTTGGGCAAAATCAATTTACGGAAAAATCAACTGAGCGTGGAGAATGGAGAATGGACTCACTGGTGATCAACCCACAACTTTCCACAACTTTTCAAATGCTCTAAACTCACAACTTTTCTTTATGCTTCAGTAATTAAGATTGCATCACAGTTAATAAAATTACAGCTAATAAAATCACAACTTTAGTAAATTAGATTGCATCACAGCTAATATTTTTTTGCCCCACAAATAACTAGCCTCATCATAGCTACTATAATAAGATTGCATCACAGCTAATATAATAAGATTGCAACACATCTAATCTAATTTGCCCCCAAAAAATCGATTGCATCACAGCTAATAAAATAATCAAACACTTAATATCATATTGCATCATAATCGATAAAATTATCAAAATTACATCATCACTCATATAATTATCAAAATTATCAGCATACATCCCCTCAAACCAAATTCCAAGCTTTTACTTTTTTTTTTTAAACCAAGGCAATTTTACTGAATGAATTTCAGAATTTACAAGATACAAATAGCAGAAAAAATCTGTNCCAAATTCCAAGCTTTTACTTTTTTTTTTTAAACCAAGGCAATTTTACTGAATGAATTTCAGAATTTACAAGATACAAATAGCAGAAAAAATCTGTTTACAAGAGAACAGAAAAATTTTGTTTCAAAATAGAACATTTGTTACAAGCCAACAGAAAATTCTGATAGGAGAAGCAAAACAGGAAAATTGTTATAGGGAAAATCTGTTTAGGCCAAACTGCATCAAACAAATACTCATAAAATTATCTAAATTATCATAACTCATATTCTAAAATATAGTAACTGATTACAGTCACTAAACGATAGAAAGAGATAGTAGAACTCTTGCACGATGCTAGTCGACGATGGTTAGTTAGTGGAGGACTCGATGGAAATGCCTATGGAGCTTTGATTTGATGCATGGAGGACTTGATGGAGCTAGCTAGACTAGTGGAGGACTTGAGTGACAAANGATGGAAATGCCTATGGAGCTTTGATTTGATGCATGGAGGACTTGATGGAGCTAGCTAGACTGGTGGAGGACTTGAGCGACAGAGCTTGAGAAATTTAGGGCAAAATCGATTTAGGGAAATTTTGGGTTTTGAAATTTAGGGCATTAAGGGCAATTTGAGCTTATGAAATTTTGGGCAAAATGGATGGAAGGCCCTGATGGAAATGCAATTCATTGGTGGAGCTGTGCTCATTCGTTGGAGTTCTGGATCGATTTAGGGCAAAATCGCATCAGGGTGGATCGACTTGATGGAGCTCACTGCTTAGTCGCTAGTGGAAGTGATGCTTACTGCTCAGTCGCTGACTCGCTAGTGGAGATGTGATTTATGGTCCTCCGATAGTCTTCCTCGTCGGAGACAACAATGCTTGAATGGTTGGAGGAGTAGGCCACAGAGATCTTCCTCGTTGGAGAATAGGCTGTGATATAGGAAAGGTGAGAGTGGTCGTTGGAGGAGGAGGAGGAGGAGAGGTGAGAGTGGTTGAAATGTTTGAAAAAGTTTGATCNTGATGCTTACTGCTCAGTCGCTGACTCGCTAGTGGAGATGTGATTTATGGTCCTCTGATAGTCTTCCTCGTCAGAGACAACAATGCTTGAATGGTTGGAGGAGTAGGCCACAGTGATCTTCCTCGTTGGAGAATAGGCTGTGATATAGGAAAGGTGAGAGTGGTCGTTGGAGGAGNTAGGCCACAGAGATCTTCCTCGTTGGAGAATAGGCTGTGATATAGGAAAGGTGAGAGTGGTCGTTGGAGGAGGAGGAGGAGGAGAGGTGAGAGTGGTTGAAATGTTTGAAAAAGTTTGATCTAGACTGTGATATAGGAAAGTTCAAGGGGGCTCAGTTAACGTTTAAATCATCATTTTGAATGACGACTTTAAAGGTGTCATTCTAGATGACGTTTTCTTAACTTTGCCACCCAATTTAACGTCGTTAACAACGTTTGTAAAACGAGTAAGTTTAAAACGTCATTTTGAATGACGTTTTTAGATGCGTCACTTAAAATGTCGTTTTATACCATAATTATTAGAATTCTATTAACTTTAAAATCGTCATTTCAAATGACGATTTTAGAGGAGAAGGCGTCATTTCAAATGACATTTTTTTAAAAAAGACTGGGTTTGAGAATTAAGTTTAAAAGTGACTAGATTTTGAAATTAAGATTTCATGGGGGCTAGGTTTGGGGAAAACCTCTTTAAATTATGTTGGGTAAATTTGACATTTTATTACACAGACAGACATCCCTTCTTATTTAAAAAATTACATTTATATTTCAATAAATAATCAAAATTAATGATATTTATAAAAATGCTATTTTGCCCTCTATTTGACTGGACAGACCTAAATAAACAAATATATTATGTCTGGATCAAATCTTTAAGCTCAACCCTAGGGGTTGCAATCATGTCGGGTCAAATCATTTTTGTGTTATATTTTGGGTTTGTGTCAAACACTAACCAATTCTAATCCAATCCATGTAATTAATCATGTCAATGTTCTGTCGATTTATTTATTTTTATGTCATGCTCGTGTTGATCCATATAACCTGTGAATAAAAAATTTAACGCTCAATTTTATATCTAAAATTTCATTATCAGTTAATCAAATCTATGTTCATATTTTTTTCTATAAACTAAAAATTAACTTAATAAATATAATAATAAAAATGAGTAAAAATATTTTTTTATACAAGAATCAAGTCACTAGACAAAATATAATAAAAAATTAACATTTTATTCTTATAGTACTACTTAAATGTGTAAATCGTGTCAATTTCGTATTGTTCGTGTTTGAGACTAACCCAACCCATTTATTACTCGTGTTAATGAGTCCTGTCAAAGTTTGTAAAATAGTCAACCCTAACCCACTAACCACCCCAATCACCTTAACTGTACACTCCACAAGCAAATAGGAATGGACTAGTGGTTAGTGTCTTTCCCGCCTTGGGTCTTGTTGCAAGGTTCAAGTCTCACCTAGTTCTTGTCCCCTGTATGAATAGTGATCTAAAAAAAACTATATAGTCCATGACTACACATCTTCCTCCCTCCCCTACTCTCTCTTTCTCTCTCTTTCACACACACACATACACGCGCGCGCACGATTTACAATTTGCTAAAGGTTTGAACAAAGGATCTGATGATGCACAAAAGTGGATTCACAATCAACAATCGAGTATACAATGTAGAGTAATTAATGAAGCAATCAATGATAAAAGACAGAGATTGGTTCAACATAGGCAACACACAGATATATAATGGTTTGGTCAGAGTGACCTACTCTACTTTGAAGGCGGCAACAGTGGCCGTAGGACTTTTTTGATAAAGTAGTAGGTGGGAGAGAGAGCAAGGGTATGCTTTAGGTATGGTGAGGTAGCTATGAGAGAGATAGTTATATAAAATGTGTGTAGAGATGTCCCTCTCATGTGTAGAGAGCTTACAATTTATAGGTACAGAGTCTTAATTGAGATGGTGGCATGAGGGTTAGGTTACTAGCTTTCTGAGGAGGATAACTACAACTATGAATATGTATAATTAGAGATAGTCTTGATCTTTGAGAGTGGCTATCCCGATAATTACTTCCCACGTGTGATAATCTTACTAGATTCCTTAAACTTTGGACTGGGCCGAACCCATGAGCTAGGCTTGACCTACTTTGTAGCCGATTTAAGCTTACCCAAGAATTGGGCTTGGACCCCGCTAGATCTGGGCTCATCATTTGCTCCCCATGCCCCAAGCCCTTGTGATGACAAGAGATTGAGGGCATGAGTGAGCTTCCTCATTTGGATAGACAAGGTCTCTTGCTTTGCACAATGGTACCTCCCAAGCTTCTTACTCCATTCAGTTGGTCTAGGTATCTNTTTGAATGACGTTTTTAGATGCGTCACTTAAAATGTCGTTTTATACCATAATTATCAAAATTCTATTAACTTTAAAATCGTCATTTCAAATGACGATTTTAGAGGAGAAGGCGTCATTTCAAATGACGTTTTTTTAAAAAAGACTGGGTTTGAGAATTAAGTTTAAAAGTGGCTAGATTTTGAAATTAAGATTTCATGGGGGCTGGGTTTGGGGAAAACCTCTTTAAATTATGTTGGGTAAATTTGACATTTTATTACACAGACAGACATCCCTTCTTATTTAAAAAATTACATTTATATTTCAATAAAAAATCAAAATTAATGATATTTGTAAAACTGCTATTTTGCCCTCTATTTGACTGGACAGACCTAAATAAACAAATATATTATGTCTGGATCAAATCTTTAAGCTCAACCCTAGGGGTTGCAATCATGTCGGGTCAAATCATTTTTGTGTTATATTATTTTGGGTTTGTGTCAAACACTAACCAATTCTAATCCAATCCATGTAATTAATTGTGTCAATGTTGTGTCGATTTATTTATTTTTATGTCATACTCGTGTTGATCCATATAACCTGTGAATAAAAAATTTAACGCTCAATTTTATATCTAAAATTTCATTATCAGTTAATCAAATCTATGTTCATATTTTTTTCTATAAACTAAAAATTAACTTAATAAATATAATAATAAAAATGAGTAAAAATATTTTTTTATACAAGAATCAAGTCACTAGACAAAATATAATAAAAAATTAACATTTTATTCTTATAGTACTACTTAAATGTGTAAATCGTGTCAATTTCGTATTGTTCGTGTTTGAGACTAACCCAACTCATTTATTACTCGTGTTAATGAGTCCTGTCAAAGTTTGTAAAATAGTCAACCCTAACCCACTAACCACCCCCCAATCACCTTAATTGTACACTCCACAAGCAAATAGGAATGGACTAGTGGTTAGTGTCTTTCCCGCCTTGGGTCTTGTTGCAAGGTTCAAGTCTCACCTAGTTCTTGTCCCCTGTATGAATAGTGATCTAAAAAAAACTATATAGTCCATGACTACACATCTTCCTCCCTCCCCTACTCTCTCTTTCTCTCTCTTTCACACACACACATACACGCGCGCGCGATTTACAATTTGCTAAAGGTTTGAACAAAGGATCTGATGACGCACAAAAGTGGATTCACAATCAACAATCGAGTATACAATGTAGAGTAATTAATGAAGCAATCAATGATAAAAGACAGAGATTGGGTCAACATAGGCAACACACAGATATATAATGGTTCGGTCAGAGTGACCTACTCTACTTTGAAGGCGGCAACAGTGGCCGTAGGACTTTTTTGATAAAGTAGTAGGTGGGAGAGAGAGCAAGGGTATGCTTTAGGTATGGTGAGGTAGCTATGAGAGAGATAGTTATATAAAATGTGTGTAGAGATGTCCCTCTCATGTGTAGAGAGCTTACAATTTATAGGTATAGAGTCTTAATTGAGATGGTGGCATGAGGGTTAGGTTACTAGCTTTTTGAGGAGGATAACTACAACTATGAATATGTATAATTAGAGATAGTCTTGATCTTTGAGAGTGGCTATCCCGATAATTACTTCCCACGTGTGATAATCTTACTAGATTCCTTAAACTTTGGACTAGGCCGAACCCATGAGCTAGGCTTGACCTACTTTGTAGCCGATTTAAGCTTACCCAAGAATTGGGCTTGCACCCCGCTAGATCTGGGCTCATCATTTGCTCCCCATGCCCCAAGCCCTTGTGATGACAAAAGATTGAGGGCATGAGTGAGCTTCCTCATGTGGATAGACAAGGTCTCTTACTTTGCACAATGGTACCTCCCAAGCTTCTTACTCCATTCAGTTGGTCTAGGTATCTTACTCCCCCAACTCATCCTTCTATATTTACGAAGCCTCTTTTCCCCATTTGATTGACACTGTGATATCAGAAGCTCTTCACCACTCCCCTTTTTCTCACCCCCATAGATTGTAGAGAGATTAGCTTTTGGAGAAGGTGAGACATAGAGATGAGAAGGGGGTTGCCGAAGGAGACCGAGAACATGGTGGTGACGCTAGAGTCCATCATCACCTCGATAGGAGAAGCCTTGCCATAGGTGATGCTAGTAGACTCTCAAGGTGGTGCCAATAGCTTAGATGACACCTCGAATAATGCAGGTGTCTGAGGCAGCAATGAGAGTGCAAGTGACACTGAGGGCAAGCAAGGTGGCCTAAAAGGCCATCTGATCGACGCCGGTGCAGAGGAGAAAGGGAAAGACGCTAGGGACTTGTTGGGGTATGCTAGGGACACATAGTTGAGAGGCTAGGGACATTATGGGTGACGCCAATGACGTCCTTGGCATGAGAGGCGACACTGAAGCAGAGGAAAGAGAGGCAGGTTCGAGAGGCTACGGAGGAGTAGTTGAGACTAGAAAGACAAACACAAGAGGCTACCGAGGAGTAG